AATGATTTGTTACCTTTTCATTATTTATATATAATGGAATCAGTGAACTTATTATATATAAATAATTGTAAGTTATTTTTCATTATTTATATATAATGATGTGTTTCCCCTTCCTTATTTATATATAAAGAAGCCAGTAACCTTATGTTTGGTTAGCCTTTCATTATTTATATATAATGTAATCAGTAAACTAATCATATATAAATAATGAAACGTTAACGCAATCATTTACATATAATCTTTTAAACGTAAATGCACTATATGAGTAATTTCACAGTAAATGGACATGATATCCTAACATTTTCATGGAAAAATAGAATACAGATGATTTTGGCTAAACTCTGTGAAACAGAACATATGATATCAATGTTTTGGGAAAGGGGTATTATACGAGAGTTAAATTATCTTTTCAAAAGAAATATGCATGTTTGTATTTTAATACACTACAAATCCTATTTCCATATAACGGACGAACAGGATTTTGACATACATTTGGGTCAATGACTTTCCATTGTGGATGCACCAAAAATAAAATGCATGATTACCAATTTTTTTTAATTTCTTACTGTATATATTTACTAATTTGATAAACATTTAAAAGTAACAGATATATTTCTTTTTTAGGAATATTGGGCCAATTTAAATTCCTAAATTTTTTGACATACAATGTTACGTCCGTTACAAAAAAAATCAAATTGCATATTTTTTTTAATAAAAAGGGTTTTATTTTTCTTTAGTGTTTTTTAGTAGATTCCAATATATTTCTTATAGAAATAATGAATCCATCCTTATAATACAATTTAAAAAAAATATCCTCCATCTAATTTTAGACATTTTTGTCATGTAATATTTTTGTATGGTGAAATATGGCTAAAAAGTATGTCAATTTATCATTATATTTTTTACTGTGAATTGTGTGATCATGAAATGATTTTTAATATGTATACTCATTGATATGATGATATAAATGTAAAAATATTTAATTTTAAACAATAAAATCTTTAGTTATAGCTTCCTAAAAAATATTGCTTGGAGCATGTCTATTTACTGTGAAATTGCTCATATATAAATAATGGGTGATCTAGTCAATTATATGTTAAATAATGAGTTATTATAAATATGTGTTAAATAATAAATTTACACTTGGCGCCTCATACATTTGTACCCCGGCAAAGCTACCCGAAATGAAATAGTAGACTCCAAACAGACGTAGCGCGGTTATGGAGATCGAACATGATCGACCGAAGCCTGTTTTGGCATACTCCATTAGTGTATTTTATATACCTGCCTGATCTGTGTGCTAGGGTAAACTTTATCATTTAACGGCCTATGTTACTTTCATTTTTTCACTGTTAAAGATATAATACTATTATTTTATTTCAGACTAAAGTTAGGTTTACAATTTCGGCCTGTTCGAATACAGTACACTTACAATTGTAGTCTAAGCACTTAGGCTAGGCCTGTAGTTTTTCAACTGATTGACTATCGCGGCAAGCCTCATAAATAGACGACACTTACAATACCTGTTACAGGAAGTGATCTTTTGCTGATCTAGCCTAGCTTTTATTTCTTTATTCTGAATACAAAAATAATATTCGAGATAAAAACACAATAAAGTATCGAAATGGCAAACTTATTTCCATTGTGGTCCAAAATAATGTATCTTTTAAAACTTATTAAAAACAACTTTACCGCTAGGCGTACCGGCCTAGGCCTACTAGTTACTAGAAGAAACCGATGTTTGTTCAGGTTCTACCAACAATTTCAATTCAAGAGTAGGCCTAGGCCTAATCTTGATAAATATTGGCAGAAAAAAGGATATTTTTTAACCTGCATATGTGTAAGTTTGGCACGTTAAAAGAAGTTGTATGTAGAAACTACCTTGGCCCTTATTTGGAATTGAACAATGAAATGTTCAATGATTGTTATTAACTGATTATTATTATTTTCATGAGGTATTTTAATACTATAAAATAGGAAGGTTATCCTACTTTATTGCCTACAAGTAGGACAGTGATATATTTGCATTGGCAATCCTCCTGTGTGCCCAAAAGTAAAAATATTAAAAGAAATTTCATTTTCTTGTTCTAATTTTCAGCTTAAAGTAATGTAAAAAATTTGATTATCACATTTTACGTTTTTTTAACTTTAGCTCAACACAATGTATGATGGACGAGAGAGAGAAGATTGTAATACTTTATGGGAGTGAGACCGGGACAGCAGAGGATGTGGCTGAGCGAGTAAGACGGCAGGCCAACAGGCGGTACTATAAAACCAGAGTGATGTCTCTTGATTCTTACCCTATTGTATGTACTATACTATATACAAAACAAGAGTAGAAAATTATTTTTTCTTGTGATTTAATAACAGATATTTTAAAGCAGCTGTTTTCAAACTATGGGTCACGACCTAAAATTTGGTCGCCAAATAAATTTGAGGGTCGCGAGCTTTAGGATTTGTTAAACTTAATTTTTTTATCCTGCTCAATTTTTCTGTAGTAAAGAGAGCACATTTATAAGTACCATTGAAACTTTTTACTGCAATTTTGTATACAAATTAATGACCCATTTTTAGTATAGTGTTTTTCAAAGGTCCAGAATGTTAGTGACAGATTCGGGTGGGGGGGTAGCAAGGGTGGCACAATGCATTTTCAGAATAGATATAGTGGGTAGCGCATTCCGATATAATATAACATTGATATGTATTTATATTTAAACAGTTAGTGGCAAAACGGAAACCCATGAACCACCATTGGGTCTGCACCCGTCCCCTCCCCTAAGTTTCTCAAATTTATTAAAAAAAAAATTAAGAAAAAAAGGAAAATATATCCAAATTCAAGTCTGAGAGTTCCATTTCGGCCATCTAGAACTGCAGTAATCATAGATTTTCTTACCAGAGTTCCAGTTATGGTGGGTGAGGTGGTGTAGACTCTCCATCCCTGGGCCCCACTCTATTTCAAATTCCTGGATCTGCCACTGGAAGTGGGTTGAGGCAATTTGGCTGGATATTTGAGAACCACTGCATTAAAGTCTAAATTGGGACCTAAATTTATTTGATAGATTTCAAGTTTATAGCTAAATTTTTTACTTGATTACAATATCATCAAGAGCTTTAGAGGTTTTTTTGTTTTTTTTTTTGTTTTTGTTTTTCTCTCAGGCAAACTTAATACATGAAACTCTAGTTGTGTTTGTGTGCTCAACTACAGGTGATGGAGAGGAACCACAGAACATGAAGGTATGCATTCCAACATCCTAGTATCATATTTATTTCTTAATATTACCATGCAACATTACCATTCATCTTTCAATTAAAAGCTGTTGTATTCAAGGTGAGGGATATACATATTACAACATGACGTTGGTCCATTAGTGGGACAAATGTTACTTTGCAGACAATTGGCCAAAGGAGCAAATTCCTAATAGGTTCGATGGTTTTGCCCAATAAATTTGAACCGTTGATTGCACAGGACCTGTCCAACAGAGGCACCCCAACAGTGCACTATGAGAGTGAAGAGTAAGTATTTAGGGTTGGGTCTAGGGAACCTCCAAGGGCCCCCTGGAAGCTAAAAATATTTGACGGATTTTGGTTAATTTTATAGGCATCAAGCTACTGTAAAACAGAATTGTTGTAATGTAATGGGATAGGGGACTATAGCCCCCCCCCCCCTTTATCTCCCTCTGGTACCACCGCTGAATCTGAAGAATGCGAATGGTTGTACTTGATGATGTACACACTTCCTTTGATCTTCTATTTATTTATTTATTTTTTCTCAAGACAGTAAAATTAGTAAATCTGTAATTAGATTTGGTATAGCAAGCATGCTAGACATTGTGGGAGAACAATTGCCTGCTACTAAACTAAATTAAAAACTTGAATGAATTAATTTAATATTCTACAGTAACTGATTGGATTTTTTGATGGAATGAATGAAAGAATGATTTACCGAACAAACAGACGGACAAACGAACAAATGTATCAACAGAAGAAATACAAATTTTTTATTTCACTGCTCAAGATTTTGGGTTTTTTTATATTTAGAATATCTGGAGGTTCATAATGAGAAGGAGCCTGCCTAGAAATTCTCTGGAAAATATGCAGGTTGCAGTTCTTGGTCTTGGTGATTCATCCTACCAGAAGTAAGAGGGGAAGACCAGTGTGTTCATGATTATCATCATCAATATTTTCAGCAACATTGTTATCAACAATCTCAGTCATTGCAGTTACTGACTGCAATATCATTGACAATTTTCATAAAGATATTGTCTTTGCTGTCAACATCTTTGACATCAACATACTATGATCCTTGTCAGTAATCATTATCATTTCGATCAACATCATGCTCACTAAGATACTGAACATTGTTAACATCAATATTATTTGCCATTAAAATCATAGCCATCAAAATCAATATCATCAAAATTGATTATTTCATAAATATTCAAATAATTTCATCAGCTGTAAAAGTGTTTCATCGATAATAAACCAAGCACAATTGATGTAAACTTTAACTGCAATCTTTCTTTGATGTTTTCAGCATGACTTCGTTGGGCTATGTGAGCTATCATCCATTGTTTTGGGCATTGTGCGTAAGCTCCAATTAAGTTTACATCCATTGTGCTTGCATTACTATCAATTAAAACAGTTCTACAACCCTGATTGTTGTCGTAACCACCATCTTACTATGGCTATTACTGCAGGTTCAATTACATTGGTAAAAAGTTGTTTAGAAGATTGCAACAACTTGGAGCAAATGCTGTTGTTCCCCTGGGCTTAGCAGATGATCAACATGACCTAGGGTGAGTAGCTGCCAATTCGAATCATGTGACATGATCTAGGGTAAGTCTCCTCCCACCCTGTGACATTACAGTATCTAGGGTGGGGAGCTGCCCAGTCTAACAGACCTACTAGCCTTCAATAACTAATCGGCTTAATGCACAAGCAACACAATTTAATTTAGCTTTATTATTGAAAAGTGCTGTAAATTTATAAAATCATCATCATCATCACCATCATGGTCAGCCCAGTGCTAGATTAAAGACTTAGCATGCCGCTTCCAGAGGTCTTGGTCTCACTTTCTGGTACCAGTAATTTCTGATTATTTTTTCTTCATCATTTTCTCTTCCTCCATTTCTTTTTCCATGAGTGTCTAAAATGGCAAACACTGCTAGACCTTTTGTCAAATCTTCATTAATACCCAACCATTACTTTGTTTAATATTTTTCTCCTTGCATTTTGCAGTTCAGATGCTGTTGTTGATCCATGGTTAAATGCATTATGGGAAAAACTCGCATCACTGTATCCTTTACCTCCCAACGTGGAAATTCTTCCGGCTGACCACCTGTAAGTTACTTTGAACAAATAATACTCAATAAATCAATACACATTGATCAATAGTTACTGACATTACAGTATTGTTGTAGCCATCTTCTTCAAAAGACATGGTTATCATTGACGAGTCTGTTGACAAATTCATCAGTGTTAACTTTGAGAACCAAGGGTCGGAGTGCTAAAGTGAATTTTTGATTTAACACAGAGTGCCTGCACTCAAACTTTAACGTTTCCAGTGTGCTTCCAAAAGCCTTCATGCAATGCTTTTATACTGTACGCTCTGTTTTAATATTAATTTTTACAGATGATTTGTATTAGCCATGAAAAATGAGGGGGTTTCTAGCCAAAGTTGATTGGCGGACCGCACACATACTGTTTTTAATTTATTTCCACGGGCCGCAACTAAATCACTGTCGGGCCGCTCTTTGCCCACCTGTGTGCTACACAAATGTATTTTAATTATTTTTAAATTTTTATATTTATTTATCGTTGTCAATTTTGTTCTATTGATTAAAATAATAACTAAAAAGTAGATTTTGATAATGTGCAAAGAAGAAAAAATACAATTCATATTACTCCTGGACACCAATATTTTGGACAGGGTAACAATATGTTTACAAAATAAATCTGTAGTAATTGTATGTGTATCTTTATACGTGTGTTTAGAGTTATGTTTGTGATAGTGGGTGTGTGCCCCAAGGTTAAATTTTATTGAATTATTATTTTTTATTGCTCTTTATGTTACTACTACTTGAAAGAACATTACAGAACAATGAAAGACTGTGCCAAAAATACATTTTGCTTTATGTTTTTCAGACCTGATCCTTACTACAGAGTAGTGCCTGTCAACAATGAATATATACATGATAAAAGCTCATCCTACCCATGGAATGGAACCACCCAATCCCATACTCCTCCATTCTTTGCCAGGGTAATTTCAAATGAACGAGTAACAGCATCTGATCATTTCCAAGATGTCCGACTCGTTAAGATGGATATATCAGACTCAAGCATCAGGTAATTTTTCATTTTAACATGTGTTTGTCTTATCTACTCATGATCCCAAATCCTAATTAATATAATAAATAAATATGAATTTATAATATAACATCATTCATTGGAACAAATACTCCAAATGAATAGCATTCAACTCTAGCAGGTATCTGCTCTATATATTTCTAGGTAGCGACAACATCGATTAATTGCTTTTAGCAGTTTACAAAAAAACTAAATCCAAACCCGTTATTTCGATTGGAAAGATAAGACCTGAGTTTAGAGCCCAGTAAACCTTCTCGCTAAGTCCTGCCAACTAATCAATAGCATAAACATATGCATTCCTGGGACGAATCGAATCAACAAAAAAATTCACTCTTTAAATAAGGATTGACATTTTTGTTTTTTTATTGATGTTTCAATATATCATTTTTATTTTCTTTTTCCAGAATCTTTAAAATGATCAAATATCTTTATTTCATAATTTGGAAGTTTCTTTTTGTTTTATTTAAAATTAATAATAAAAATAATTAACGTTTCATGCCAACAAATTTCTTGCAGTTATGATCCAGGAGATGTTGTTTACATACAACCACAGAATTCAGCAGAAGCAGTCCAACGATTCCTAGACCACATGCAATTAGATCCTAATAAAGTTATTCACATACATGCAGGTGATCCTGGTAAGATATGCAAATGTCCCTGGCTAAATAAATTATACTAATCTATAGAATGTTGAGTAACTAAAGGCCGACACTATATTTTGGTAGAAACATCTGCATACAGTAAATCTAACCAAACAAGCGTGAACTAATCAACATATTTAAAATATGCAAATGATCCTGGTAACATATGCAAATTTCCATGCCTAAAGTAAAATAAATTAATCTTCCTCCAGGAAATAATGGAATCACCTGTTGTATTCAGACACATTATTTTGAGTGCTGCAACATACCCTTAAGAAAGCATATGATTCGCCCACCGTATTCAGACACATTATTTCCTTGAGTGCTGACTGAACACGAGGGGCAATTCCATTATTTTTTTTATGTATGCAGGTAAAAGAAAAATCAAATTTCTGTGACCTTGACCTTGTCCTTGACCTTTTTTTTCCGAAAATTGAATTTGATTATTTTGTACCATTCCACTGAATTTTATGATGATCATCCATTAGTTTGGCACAATCCTGCTAACAGTGGCACAGACAGTGGTGAATAGATAACCTCCTTTGTTCGAGGTATTGATTGCTTTGCTTTCTTTCTTAACCTAGGAGGTTTTTTTTTTTCTATGTTTGCATAATTTTCCAGACCATCTCTTACCGCCTCACTGGTTGCTGACATCAAGCTGCTTTCTACGGCAACTTGTTGAGAGATACCTCGACATCAATAGCATTCCAAGAAGGTCCTTCTTTGAGATTCTCGCTACGTTCTCTGACGATGAAATGGAGAAAGAAAAATTACAGGAGTTTTCCTCAGCACAAGGACAGGTAAAATAAAAGATTGAATGTTGTGGGTGATTGGAAAAAATAATTGGATAATGAAATAATATCAATTATTTATTGTAGATAACATATTGGTAAGTTTCTGCATCATGGTTAAAATGAATGGGAATTGTAAAACCGCTAAAAAAAAAAAAGGCCGCAGAATATTTCAAATTGTAAAGTCGCGAAAATAAAGGGCTGCAAAAATAAAGGTTCAATTAATTAAGGATGGATAAATTTGATGTAAAAGCGAAAGAACGAACGAACAAACAAAAAAAACAAATGAATGAATGAATGAAATATCGAATAGATGGATGAATAAATGTAAACATTTTAACTTTCCTAATACATGGTTTTTTATATTACCTGGTAAAATAATATTAAAATATAATTTTTTGTAACATAGGAGGAACTGTTTGATTATTGTAACCGGCCAAGAAGAACAATTTTAGAAGTGTTAGAGGATTTTCACAAGACGAGTAGTAAGATACCTTTGACTTATCTGATGGACTTAATACCTGCAATCAAACCAAGAGCTTTCTCCATTGCTTCTTCTCACAAGGTATACATTAGTGTCTTTGTTATAGTTTATTAGTAATTGAAAAAAAAAAAATTATCATCTTTGTAAGGTATGATGACAACAGTTTGGATGTTGATGAGTGCTTGTTTGGGGCACGTATGCCTCTATCAGAGATCGCCACCAGCTGCATTCTTGGACATACATCGGCCCTTTTGCAAGTTGGTTCTCCGTTACCTGTTTAGCAGCTGTTGCATGAGAGAGAGAAATGCGTCATCTACAGTCTGATGATGTTTCTTTTTTAGTTAAGCTGCTTTAATTTGTTTCATTCTGATTTAATTCTTTTTTTTATTACTTTGTTATGTTCTTGTGGTTGTGAACCACTAATTCAAATGTGCATATCCAAATAAAAAATTACTATTATTATGATAATGATATTATACTAATTGACATTTCAAAATTCACACCCGAAAAAGTATGGAAAGTGACTAAAAAAATGCCTGGCAGAAAAACCATGGGCAAAAAGATAGGAAAAACAATATGGAAAAACAAAAACATACTTTACACTTTACAGTACTTTACACTTTACAGTATTAAAATTAATGTTTATATGATGTTGCAGGCTCTAAAATCAGAGTTACACATTTTGATGGCTGTGGTTCGTTACAAAAGCAAACTAGTGAAACCAAGGCTAGGTCTGTGCTCCAATTGGTTGGCAAATCTCAATCTAAAGAAAAGTGAGTATAAGGCAGGGGTTCTCAACTATAGGGGCTAAAATTGTTTATTCAAATAAATTTGAAGGGCAAGAGGTGTATTATGGTGCGTAGCGATCGGATCAGGGGTGAGCCGGGGAAAGGCTGTGGATTGGGTGTCCGACTTCCCGAATTAGAAATCTTTTGAAAATAATAAGCTGCTAGATGCTAATACAGGGCATCTTGACAAGCAAGTTACCCAGGTGTTTGGTAATGCAAAAGTCAAAATTTTATGTATTGTACAATGGGTCATCGGTAATACAGTATTTCTTTGCTGTTTGCTGTGATAGTTCTTCTGATTTGATTGATTAAATCGCTACAATTTGTGGGGCAATATATAGGCCTAGTTGGCAAGACGGAATTCAAAATTAATAAGGTTAGAAATATAGGCCCAAGCCTAACGGAAAATATTATTGACTTGTTCTCACGGGCCGCATAACACATACTTGCAGGCCAGAGATAGCCCATGGGCCGCCAGTTGAGACCCCTGGTATAAAGGATATGTTAATTTAGTATGTTGCTAGTATTCATCCTTTATTTTTATTTAAACAACATAACTCACATTTTTGTTGATTTTGAGATACTGTATTATCATTTGGGAGTATATTAAACACTCAAGAATTACCAATAAGTCATTTCGGAGATAGCACCACTTATTTCTATTAAAACATACAGTAAAACTTAAAATCTAGTATTTTCCGTGGTAAAAAAAAGTAACTGAAAGATAACTGGCAAAACAATGTACCTTCGAAGATCCATTGTTTTTCCTCGGAATGGTATTCAAAAATCGTTTTGAATGTATTAGTCTGTATCAGCATTCAATTGGGACTACTTTCCACTGTGTGGAGGCGGTGGCCCTTTGTTCTAGTTTGCTTAATATGAATCAATGAACAGGGATTGTAAAATAACCGCCAGTTCCCTGTATCCCTTGTCAAGTATAAATCCCTATATTATTATAGTGCAGTTGTACTGTCTGGTTGTTAATTTTAAGATTTCTGTATTTCCAATGCATTATTAATGCCTTCATTTTTTGATCCACTTCATGAAGGTGAAGTTAGAATACCAATATGGGTGAAGAAAAGCAGCTTTAAATTTCCCAAAGGACCCACCCCCGTAATAATGGTTGGACCTGGCACTGGATGCGCGCCATTCAGATGTTTCCTACAAGAGAGAGCAAAGGAAAATATTGGTGGTGAGTGGACAATATTGGACTATTCCATTTATACATTTTGGGGGATAAGTAGTAAAGTTTGTCACAAATTGGTTTAAGGCCTAGATAATAATATTTATTTATGCACTTGAGTATATAATAAGTTTTGCCAGTACGTTTTAGCTATATTTTCAGTAAGGGCACAAAGGTATGAAAATGCACCTTTTATTATTAGTATTATTCTATCTTTCCTGAGTGTCTGTCAAAAACTTAACATGAGACCAATCCGGAGAGGGCCACATGTATGTGCGCATCTCACAAACACACGTGTTGCCCCACAGCCACACATGTATGCGTATGTTTTTACACTGTCATTTTGTGGGGCAACAACAATATCTAAAGGGTTTGGCCTAGTGGAATGTCCATTATTGATACTTCATTGTATGAGAACTGTATTCCTGACTAAAATATCAATATATAGTGCTATAAATAATTTTCCATGATTAATACGAGTTTGGGATCACCCGCTTGAATATAAAGAATATTTTTTTTTTTTTATTTTACCAATCTCATAACTTATTTTTCTTGTATGAAATAGTGCAATTTAAGTCTTTGTATTATTAACTATAAAAGTGTTCAGCCATTCACTGTTGACTATTTCATTACAGACAATGTGTTGTTCTTTGGTTGTCGCAATAAAGAAAAGGATTTTCTATGTGAGGAGGACTGGAAAGACTTTGAACAGAAAAATATTCTTCAGTTGTTCACAGCTTTTTCTAGAGATCAAGTGAGATTATTCTCTGTGGAATTAAGAATGTTGATATGTTGTACTACTGATTTTTCACACAAAAGGAGTGTTTGACGAAAACCGGAACGGTTAATGAGATAGAGATCATTAGATATTAAATAACTGGGAGGAAAAGGGTGAAAAACATTTGTACAACATTAACAAAAAATTGTTTTCCTCCAAAGTCTGGCATTAAAATAACCTTGAATTGATTACCAGCCAATGTGAAAAGGGTATTATTTAATGTTTGCCTTTATTATACCATTGCTGACTAAAGGCCCAGTTTCCATGTTGTGTGTGTGGTTTGCCCATTTAGCGGTGGATGGCAAATTGTTAGAAAAGTTACATCCTTTATTTAATTTTGTTTTGCAGGAAGATAAAGTGTATGTACAACATAGAATCAAACAGAATGGTGCCCTCTTATGGGAACTGATTAATACAAGAAATGCATATTTTTTCATTGCTGGGTAAGTCAAAATAACACTCTCGAGATTTTGTAATATGTTTTGTGTTTAGATATTTAAAAAATAAGAGTAACAAAGAAAAGTGCTAATATCTGTTCACAAATAAAACGTTTGACTACTTTTCTGGACAATTATAAAAAAAAAAAATAAATGTTTTATTTTTAACCACATGACTACCATTCATGTTCTTGATATTTCTTATTGGTTCTGTTAACTTATTTAGCGCCCTCAATTTATTCCTAGTGCAAGTTTTCTTTGGAAAACAAAAGTTTAATTTCAAATGATTTTTTAATTGGAAACAGTTTCATTTTAGTCAGTGACAGATCAAAAACGTATTGAAAAAAAAATTGTAATGGAATTTTTTTATTGCTCTAATTTTGTGAATTTATTATTTGATATCAAGATTATAGATAACAAAAAAATTCTTTGTATCTTGATCTAGAAATTCCAAGCAAATGCCGAACGGAGTGACAGATGCCCTAAAGGAGATTATTCAACAGGAGGGTTGTATGACCGCGGAACAAGCTGCAGACTACGTTACTAATTTGGAGAAATTTAAACGCTTCCAGAGAGAAACTTGGAGTTGATGTGAAAATGAGACATTTATAATTGCTAATGACAATGACTGTAGGCCTATGAGGTGGTGACATTGTGGAGAAGTTGAAAAAAAAATGTGTTGTCATCCAGGCCAGACTGTGTGAGAATTCAAAGAATAATCTCTTGAGATTATCAAATTGTCTGTGAGAAAAAACTATTGTTATGCCCATATATAGTCATGATGTGATGTCATCATAACCTTATTTAGACATGTCACTTGTTTTTGTCTAATAAACCTTGATAGGTTGGACAGGGCTTTTTATACTGTATCAGGCTTTGTTGTACAGCCAAGACTGATAGTACTCAATACATACATGCATACTGTAGACATGCAATATGGTTGATTTTAAAATTATATTTTTCATAAGAACCAAAGAAAAACATTGTCATATTTATTTACATGATTTAAATAATTATGAGATAATCCTTTAAGCCTTTTTTTCCACTAGGCGAATTTATTCGCTCGAATCAAAAGTGTTGCTTCAGTGTGAAATGTGATTTCCAACTTATAACCTTATCCTTCATTTGTGGCTTTAATTAAGTCCTGGCATAACGAAGAGGCTTAACACCCCTTGCTAGGCCTACTAGTTAGTAGGGCCTAAGACCTAAGCCACCTAGGCCCAATCGGGTATGGTTGAGTCCTGTCTGCTTCGCGTTTTTTTTCGTTTTTTAATTGATTATTTTGATGTTTTTAAACGTTCTGCTACTTAAAGGACCGGCTTGGCCGAATTTTGGCTTATGGTTCTGCAAGTAGCTTAATCTCCAGGCCTCTTAAGGTATTGGGCCTCATAGGGCATGGGGGTCCCTGGCTTTAGCCATTTAGGGCTCATTGTCGTTTTGGATACAATGTTGACCATCCAAACTCAGTATCACAATAATGAGACTTACGAGACATCACATAGCTGTTCTAGTTTGTAAAGGTGAGAAAAGTAAACTAAAATATTTACTGCGAAATAACCACTCATAGTACAGGTTAGATCTCAAGAGCTCTCCACCAACACATAATATTGCATTGTTTATGTTAATTGTTTATCAATTTATTAAATATATTTTCTAATTATTTGTTTGTTGTTTTATAATATTTATCATATAGATTATAAAATGTATTCTTTTTTTTTAAAAATTAAATCTGATAGTGGCAATTGTTATCGTTGTTTTATGTTTTTGTTTTGTTTTTTGTTTTTTTTTTTGGGTTAGGCTCGGTAATAACATTTATTTAATAATATTTTAATTATTTTAGGCACAGGTTCAAAGATATACCAATAGTGATCAGTATACTAAGTGGTATATACCTTTTACAAGACAAACATATGCAAGTTGTTCTACATGAGTCTGTGGAGCATAGGAGTGGAGTAAACAAATCCTGTACAATTAACTAATGAGTGTCATTCAAACTTAAAAACTGACCAATCAGAACAGTGCCATTAATATTACGGCCTTGTCAAACACACAACGCGATGCCCTACTAACGCACGTGTTAGTACGTACCTTTCACACTATTGTTCTGTGGGACCACCGATATATCCAAGGAGTTGGTCTTAGCGGAAAGGTTCATAACAGGCTCTACAAAAAGCACGACATTTTGAGCCTTGCATTACTTGAGGAAGTCTAATATGGAGTAGAAAAAAAAATAATAATAATAAAATATATATTTTAAAATAAAAAAATAATGAAAGCCCATGTTAAACAATGTGTAGCGACAATAATGGTGTTTGTAACAAATAAATAATAAGTTTATATATTTATTCGTCAGTCCCCTGAAAAAGTATACGAATATATAAATTTTCATCATTACATTTCTGTGTACCGTATAACTTTTCGTATTAATCACAGTTAAAAGTTTTTTCAATAAAATAGTTTCTGATTTACGTGGTCGACGTTTTACTTAGCTGCAGATGTACTGAACTTTTGCTTATATCCTACTAAATTTCAATTAAAGGCAACTTCAAATCGAAATAAAAAGTGCTCATGACAAATATAGTCATTGTCTATTACTGAAAAGAATACAAAACAATGTTTACACCCTAATTATACCAGAAGGTTCTACCCCTTTATACATCCATGGTTCGACTTGGCGAGAACTACAGTACGCTTAGTTTATATTTTTTGTACAGGTCTATTACCTGCTCAGCAGGCTGCTATTGAGATGAAGATCTTACCCTGGGGCTAGCACGGGAGTGTAAAGCCAAGAAAGCGAGTGTTTTTCGTTTATGAACGTAACGAGAAGAATAGTGGTAACTCTATAAATTGAAAATATTTAGCGATTACCTTTAGAAGTCTTGTAATTTGTCATCTTATCATTTTCAGACAGAAAATAGACACCTGCAGTCTTACACATTAATTTAAAGCTTTATTTATATATATGTGTATATATGTGTATACATATGTATATATATGTATATATATATGTATATAGATATATATTTATATATATGCAGATACATTGGCCTATATATAATATATATTATATATACATGCGTATATATATATGTATGTATATGTATATATAATTATATATACACTCATACAT